TCCTCCATTACTCTGTCCGTGTCGGCAGTCCCTCCCGTCCAAACTGCAATTGTGTTAGCGGCTTCTTCTACCGCTGTGGGCTCCTGCGGCCCAAAGGCTCGCGGTCGGCCCCTGTTATCCGTCCTCGAGTTGAATATCTGATATATCTTGCCGCAGGCCGCATGAACAATACTCCCTGCAGTCTTCTTTCCGCCTCGGCCGTCGGCCAGAGTGGCCTTGAAGTCCCTAGATTCGCAATCCCTACGAACGTGCTACCTAAGCTAACTACATAGCGAAGATCCGCCTCAAGGGGGTATCTAGTCAAAGAGGCGAGGCCGAACCTCTCTACCGGGCTCTCTGCGGCTTACGGCCTTTCGTTGTCGTTGGGCGTGCACAGAGAACCACGGAACCCCAAGGTTTGCACCTTAAGCCCTCCGCAACAGGTACTACTACATAGAGCTCCGTAGGCGACACCACAGCGACCGCACAGCGGCCAGGGCCCGGGTGCGAGCCGGGTACTCGGCATCTATGTAGTTTCCTCTTATGTTAGTAATAGGTTGAGGGGTAGATCTAAGAAGGTGACTCACATGACGCTGCTCTAGGTACCTTAGGCAATTCAAACAATGCTATAGACTACAATAAGAGAATACAGTCGATGCTATATGAAGGGCGTTTGAGTCCTCGGAACTTCGTTGCTGGCTTGGCTGAACTATCTGAGGCAGGTGGTGATGAACTGGAGAGCACGATTGCGGGGAACGGATTGCTTGAATATAGCTGCCCATCTAGGTATGCACGAATCTATTGCAGCTGATAGGTCCAGGCTGACTCCAGTCGTTGGCTCGTTTCTGGCCCTCAGCCAAGGCACACATGTGTTTAAGCGAGGTGACGAGAAGGCTCTCGTGTCGAACTGCGGCAAGCTGCATCTTTGGGCACCTATTTCAAGTCTGAAATAACTACTTACATCTAACAGTTACGTTATAGTGTTCTAAAACAGTCGTAACATTGAATCCGCCTCTAGCAACCTTGAACCCAAACGTTTGGTATCAAGCGTGATTATCTTCTTGTTTTCAACTCATGGAAATACTTCATTCTCTATTGAAGGTAGTTACCCAAGAAAATATCCTAGTTATTTAACTGCATCACCTGATATTTGTCCAACAGACAAGGTACGTACTTATGCCGGTTTTATTTTTATCTTGCGTCCGAAAGGAGGGTGGTCATCGCTCATTGAGGTTGGATCAACTTCGTACCTGAGAAGATCGTCCAGCACATCCGGAGTCGTTCATCAAGCGGCATATGGGAAAGTTCTGCCGCATCTGAGGGGGTTTTTCCCCGCATTGTCCTCCAATATGACCAGTACCATAGTCGATTATGAGTCGGCGAATATCGACGAAGCCAGCCTCTGCCGCGAGATGTAGGGGCGTTGGTGAGGAACAACACTGGGAATCGCGCTGGCAGTTGTGCTGTATATTTGGATTCGCGCCGTTATCCAAGAGAATTGTTGCTATTTGCACCCTTTCTGCTTCCGTGGAATCGTCTAGGTATTCCCCGACGTCCGCAGCCATGTGCAGGGCTGTACGATACCTCCATCCGAACCCATCAGTGTTATCACATGGCATCATCAGCTGCAAGCGCCGTTCAGGGTCTGGTGACCGTAGGGCGGCTATGATATTGTTCCAGTAGTGGCGATTGGTGCCATACTTGAGCAGGAGTTGAACAAGCTCGACGTCGCCTCCGGCCGCGGCTCTTTCCAGCGCTGTATCATGCTGTATCATGACCGCTCCATTTTTGTGTCTGGATGGACGCCAGCCTCCAACATGATCTCCACAATCTGGGTTTCATGTTTGTCGACTGATGTGTGCAGTGCTGTCCCTCCCGAGTACCACTTGCTTGGTAATATCCGCTCCGTGATTGACCAAAAACCGAACAGCCTCAGTATGACCAAGGTCTGTTGCAAAGTACAAGGGCGTTCTTCCATGTTGACATGCCCAGTTGATTTTGAATGATCCCTGGTACTTTCGTTGCATGATCCGGAGCGTTGAGAGGTGGCCTAAATGCGACGCTACCATGCAAGCGGGAGGATCTAGACCTAGTGGGTAGCTGTCGGATTCCTTCTTCAATGAACCAGTGGATCGGGAACCATCCGCGGCTCATCGGCGGCTCGCAAAGCTCAGCGGCCTTCCGGACTAGGTCTCTTTTGTCATGTTCGAAACTGACGACCTCCAGATTCGAGTAGTGTCCCGGCCAGTGCGCCGCTGCGCACCTCAGAAATGGATGCAGCTGATTAGGCTGAGAAAGCATGTTTTTGCCGAGTAATATCCACAGGGAGGTGAAAGTCGCAACAATTGAATCTCATGAAGCCTTGAATACACCATGAAACGGCGGGCCAGAATCGAATGTGACATCGCCCGATTGAGAAAGTGCTTCCAGGAAGACAGTGGACCGACTGGACCGCCTCTTGCACATCCTTGGGCGACCAGGAATTACTCTTGCTGTGAGATGGACAAGATGAATTTTCCGTTGAATGACCCGGATGAAGGACCCGCGAAGTCTCTTCAGCGTCTCCTCGATGTCTGAGTATCCAGCGGATATTCGACGGAAACCATAAGCCAATTTGCGCCCTGGCTTTTGCGCGAGGTTGGAAGGAGGTTGTGATCCACTGGCCCCCCTGCCCTCGAGGATGTTGTATGGTCCAAGGAGCCGTTGTGCCAAGTACTAGTACCGGTGGTCTGCAGAGAATCAATCTCACTCTCTGAGACTGCAGAAAACAGGGGTTAGAAGTACCTACAGGGCGCTAGAAACTGCGCCTCGGTTCTAGGACTTCTTGATCGTCAATTCTGGGGAGAGTATTGCAGTGGTCTTCATGGGAACCACTTCATGTTTGCATCTGAGGCAGAGCTACTTGAGATCAAACAGCCTGCGGCTATAGATCTTCGACTGATTGAGGCCATTCGTTGACATCGACAAGCTGCAAGTACCTATTCACTCTCAAAGTTGAGTTCCACTGGTATTCCCAAGCGCCCCATCTCATGGACCACAAATCGGTTCATCCCCAAGTCCAGAAGCCATTTAAGGCCCTCCCTCGCTGCATCGAGACGCCTCGAGGGGATCTCGTTGCCCTTGCCCCGGCGCCTGGCCCGCAGCCACGCGGAAGATGATTCCAACCAACTCAGGGAGCTGGACTTCCGATTTGACCGTAATCCGGTCTTCCCTCACAAGCCTGTCTGAACAGAGGATCCATAATGCGCTCGAAATCGCGGAGAACCATCCAACACTTTGTGTGCAAAAAGAGGTAGTCAAACTGTACCTCGGCCATTTTCGCATTCGACCTGAAGGCCAAGTTCTTGATGAGCGCAGCCGGTGACAACGTCAAGTGGACTTCGCGGCCGGGTAAGGGGCGTCGACGGCGTGTGGTTCCCGAGTTCGCTTCGCAAAACGGCCGGCTTCTCGCTCGTTCGTGTTGGTGCACCATTTCAAACACATAGCCGGGAGGTGGGCCCGTCATGATCCACTCGCCTTCGCCGACAATCGTGCGCACATCCTTCAGCGCCATGTTGACCCGTGCGTGATCGGCAGTGTCGCTACCGAGGCGCCCCCGGAAGAGGAGAGAGACCGGGGCAAGCTGGGCAAGTTCCCTTCGTTTTTGAGTTGCTTGTAACAGCGACTGCCACTGGCATTGATAATATCACATGCATGGAATCTTGTCTCGATCTTCAAATTCAAGAATTCGCAGGGACTCCGAGAGGAGGATGGAGGGGAGGATGGCGTAGCCGGCTCTGCAAACCACCGCATCCGGATGCCCATGCGTTACCCGTAATCAACGGCCAAGGCGTAGCCGAACGATCCCAGGAGCACGGTCGACTCTTTGTCAAGAGGAGCCCCTCGCGAAACCAATTCCCAAACGAGCGGCACAATACCTTCCCAAGTCTTGGGAGGCAAGGCAATATTCTCGCTACTAGAGTACGACGCTAGGCCGCGCATCGACGTCCAGATCTCGGTCGCAACGGCTTTCGCGCTAGCTCCTTGCCGGAGGAGGAGACTAGCCAACGAGCAATGGGGGGACCGCTTTGCAAGTGTCAGCATCACGGCGCAGGTCAGTGGCATTCACCCATTGCCGTTGGCCGAGTTGACGTCCGACGCCACGGCCTAAGAGGAAACTCAACAATATCTTCTCCTCCACCGGCTGTGGTGTGAGGTAGAAGGGACTCTTCGTAATAGATATCATCACGGCCAAGATCAGAACATGAATGGCACATGTCTGAATAAGGTAAGGTACGTCACTGCGGCACTGGAGCATACTGATACCCTTGTGCTTTCGAACCAACCGGAACGCCCGACACCATGGCTTCCTTGGGCATATTTCCACCGAAATATTGCATCGAGACAGAGGGTGTCACGGGCGTCTCAGGCGGCTGATGGAGGATGACCGGCTTGCCGTCCACGACAAGGTAGTCCCCCTCCCCATGCACCACCATATCCACATCCGGAGCAGCCCTCATATACGCCCTCTTCGACTCAGCCGTGCCCCGATACAGCGTGGTATGCACGAGGTTGGCGAGCATGCTCTTGGACCAGCCGTCGTCTGCACCATACGCCAGCGCAGCCCACGCGGCAAGTGCCAGAACGCCGGCAAAGATGCTCAGGAACAGCTGTAGACCGCTCATGGCAACGACCATCTGCTCGAATGACACGCCGACGAGCGAAGGGTCCACGCTGACGACGTATCCCCTCGCCACCAGCAGGTCCATCATGCGCGGCGTGTTGTCCCACACCCACTCCATGGCCCTCTGGTCCATGGACTCGGAGCTGACGTTGGACCGGCCGTAGCCGAGACCGTTGATGATCATGACAGCGGCCGTGTCGACGGTGCCGTAGAACCGCGCGTCGAGTTCGAGAACCGCTGCCCCGGCGCAAGTTGTCTGCCTGACCTGTCCTCCAAAGGCCTCGTTCATGAACGGCTTGTCGCACGGCTCGAGCGGGCCTGGGGGGTTTTCGATGTCCTCGGAGCGGATGAGGGTGATGTTCGTCGCGGAAGTATAGACGATGGAGTATTCCTCCTTCAAATCGGGGGTTCTGAGGACCCTATAATAGGACCAGGTGTTTTGTATAACGGTGTTGTCGCTCTCGGCATAGTTCACGCCGTAGTTGTAGCTCACTCCCTCGTCCTGGGCGCGGAGAATGTCCTCGACTATCTGTCCCAGCATGGGAGCGTCTCGGGCCGTTTCATTGCGCCCGGCTGCACGCCGCAGCAGGTCGTCGACATCGTCCCGGGCGAACAAGACGCCCGGGTTCGTCAGCAAGGTCGCGCGGAACACGGTTTCGGCGAAGGTGTGTCGCCTCTTGCCTTTGGTTACGGTAAAGACCTGCATCATGACTGCGGTCCCGGAGCCCTTGCTGTAATCGGCCCACGCATTGTCGACGCGGTTTGCGAGGATGTACTGCGAGTCGTAGTTCTTGGATGACTCGTCGTCAAAGTGCACTTCCGGTCTACCGAGCGGGGCCTGAAAGAATCCCATCGCAAAGGCGTTATGATAGGTACAATTCCAGCGGGCTACTCCCCCGTCGAACTGGATGCAGTCATAGGGGAAGTCCAGGTTCTCGCCGTCGATGGTTGGGGGAACACCTGGCCAGCTGGCATAGGTGTCGGCCGAAACGGAGAAGCCCTCTTCGTCCAGCCAGATGCGTGCGCCGACGCCTTCATGCCGCGTCGGTTCCGTGGTTTCGGGCTTGCCCCGTTTGACCTCGCCCGTTAGCGACATGTTGAAGCCGGATTTGAAGAGTTCGGCCCCCATAATCTTTGGAAGGGTCTCGGTGGTCTGGTTGAGCTTGACCGGGTCGAGTGGCAGTGAAAAGACGTATGAGGCGTCCGGATTGAGCGCGTACCGGTGCTCCGCGACAGTCGAGTTGTAAACTCGAAAGATATACCCGGGAGAGTCCAATGCCCACAAAAGTGTGCCGTAGAGCGACGCTGCTGTGTTGATGAGGGAGAAGATGAGGACGAGGAGGGTGGCGCCAGAGAACCCTCGTGAAAACATGAATAACCCTCTCTGAATCCAGCCCTCAGCAAACATGAGATAGGGAGTGAAATGGCGGAAGCGGGCCGCGGCGAGGGAGAAGAACTTGAAAATGAAGAGGCCCATCAGGAGCTCGGCGAACCTGAAAATGATGGATTTGACGGCATTATGGGCGACGGGAATTGACGTCTGAAAGAATGCATCCGCCATGATCTCCGTGATGATCCAGGGGTGGTGATCTGCGGCCCAGGATGGGTCTATCTCTAGTTGCTCGTTGCGTGATCGATTTCCGTTGTTGAGCCTCTTCGGAGGAGAGAAATTCGGCGAGTCCTATTTTTCAGTTGTCCTTCAGGTCGACTTCGGCGGGTCCGCCTCATTGCGCCACGGCCCCTCTTTCTGCCTTCCGTTCTGCCTAAAGATGGTTCGCTCGAAACAGAGCCCAACGACTGGCTTAAGCGACTCTCGGACCTGAGCCTCACGTTATACCCCTTTCAGCAAGGTAGCTCCCAAGCGAACCAGCCCCGTTCTTCGCTGGCTTTCGCCAAGATTCAGGGAAAGCGGAGCAGGAAGCCGAAGACCGTGGGCATGTCCCCCAAGGAACAACTCAAAATGAATCGAGTCGCCCCACCTTCCAAGTCAAACTACTTCGTAGATCGCCCCTCCTTCAAGTCAAATATATCATCAACTTTGACTGTATTACTTGTAAGTCGACTTGCGCTGTTACTACTGTGGTATAATGGATTATAAAAATCTCCATGCGGGGTACCCACGCTAACCAGCGCATAGTTTCCACACATTTTCAGATTAAATATACCAAACAGCTAGCTAATATTCTGTAAGTATACCCTTAGCTGCAATCACTGCTTTGCAACGATCTAGCATCGAGGCCAATAGCTCCTTTAAGTAGTTGTCCGGTAGTGGCTCTTAAGCCACCTTGTGACGGAAAGCGCACCCTGGACTCATGCTCCCATCGGTGGGTCATCGGTGGGTGGCCTGTGCGCCCACTTATCTTTCTCGCTTCGCAGTCGCGCATCCTGGATACTCTCCCTCTTCCTTCCCTTAGCTTTCGATTAGCAGAATTGAGTCGGCATTTGCAGTGCCGAGTGCCTCGCATTGATGCCACTTGTCTCTCACACTCCTTGACATATTGACTTATTGTACGTGGGCTTTTCTTCAAGGCTATACTGATCTTCGATCCCGTCCTTCATCTAATTCTACCAGGTCAATGGGGTTCAAGTCTGATGAAAAGGGTGGCCACTCCATCATAGTAATACCTCGCTCGCGGAGATCTTCCTTGATCTCCGTAGCTGTATGCCCTGGAGCGCCGTCTTGCATTAGGATTGGATTTTTACTAAGCTGTTCCTTGTATAACTGTACCGAGCCATGAATTACAGGTATAGTATACACGCCGTAGGTCTCGGCGTTGATCTTTCCCTAATCCTTTTCCCAAAAGACTCTACTTTAAGACCATTGCCTAAATGTCAGTGGCCAGGAAGGTCACTCAAGCCGCGGAAATCAACGGCTTACTCCCAGATGAGCAGATGGGCAACAGGGCGCACCGGTCGACAGAGCTGGCAATCCGACTGGTAGTAGCGCAGGCACAAGAAGCCTGGAGACAGAAAGCCACAGCGTCGCTCCTCCAGCTGGACATCTCAGGCGCCTTTGACACGGTCAACCACGTCCGACTACTAGCTACCCTTCGAGAAATGCGCTTCCGAAGGTGGCTCGTCCTATGGACGAAGAACTGGCTGACCGACCGGGAGGCCACTCTTCACTTCGACGGTCAGGCAGC